GCCTGCACTGCTGAGGGAGGCTGCCAGGGTTTGCTGCTCGCCACAAGGACCCCCTCAGGAGGGTGACCTGACGTGGGCTTCTGGCACTTAGCAGTGAGCTCTCCCACTCCTTCATTCCTTTAGAGATGGGCACACCCTGGAGTGCTGTCACTGGCAGAATGACAAAACCTCAGGATCCTTGCTGTCACTGCAGATTTCACTCCTGCACTGCTGAGGGAGGCTGCCAGGGTTTGCTGCTCGCCACAAGGACCCCCTCAGGAGGGTGACCTGACGTGGGCTTCTGGCACTTAGCAGTGAGCTCTCCCACTCCTTCATTCCTTTAGAGATGGGCACACCCTGGAGTGCTGTCACTGGCAGAATGACAAAACCTCAGGATCCTTGCTGTCACTGCAGATTTCACTCCCTGGGAAGACCCAGTCCCTGGCTCAGATCATTTCCATAAAGCTTTGTTTCCTAGCAAGTATTTGAACAGCAATATTCCTGTCTGCTTGTGGAGTAGAAAATGAGAGCAAAAGCAGGCAGAGTCACTTGCTCCTTGGGATTTAATCCAACATCTCAGCCACGAGCCAGTGACTCTTCAGATAAATATTTTTAAAAATTATATGTACAGGTTTTCTGCAGATGAGAGCCACCTTTCTTAAACACATGGTAGACATGCTATACTAAATTTAATAGAATCTCTCAGATTTGTTTTTCACAAAGAGAACAGTTTTCACAGAGCTGCTGTGTTCTAAAGGCCTCCTGTAGCTGTTTGGTGTTTGTCATGGGAGAGAGCAGTCTTTGAAGTGTGAGAATTGAGAGGTCACCCTCAGAAAAATGCAGAAGATTAGGTTTGTAACAACTCAGAACAAATAAATTAAGCACTGTTGCAACTCTTAAGGAGATATTAATCAGGAGGTTTAACCCTCTAGGTGTTTTAACTTCACTACCTTCTGCCATGTCACTTTAGAAGGCAGTTTATCAGCCAAGACCATGTGTTAATAGGGCCCAGAAGAATGAAGTTATTAGGGCTGTGATAGGGAGCGAACACTTCACATTTTTTAGAGAAGTGGGTGGAGAAAATAGTGAAAACCACTTAAAAGCGAACATTTGCTCAAGTTGCTACAAAAATATAGTGACTGCCACTAACACCTGCTGTTCAGTTTATGGACTCAGTTTGCTCAACTACAAGACATCATCCCAAAGGCAGGCTGCTTAGGAGTTTGTTAGTTTAAATCTGTTTTTTTATGTCTCCAACACAAGTATTGTATCACTTGTATTTTTCCTCCACTATTAAAAAAAAAAAATCCATGAGTCATTTCAACACCAGAAATAGTATAAATTCAGCACAGGAGTTAATGCTCTCCATAGCTCCTGCACGTTTATTAGGTGTCTTTCTTTTCATTAGTTTGAATAACTTGCCAAATAATAATAAAAATTATGTTCTATTTTATCTTTTTAACTTGTAAAGAAATGTAACTCTGGGAACGTACAGTCTTTCTTTCTCCTTCCCCCACCAGTAATACAGAGCCTCCTAGTCTTTTGGAGGAGATATTTGAACGGTTGACACAGACCACTACACATAAAGCAGCAGATTTGCTGTGCATGATGTGAATAATTACTGCATTATAGTTCTGGTTTTTAGGGCAACTGTTGACTTAAGCAAAATAAGCCTGCAGTCCAGCTGCAGATCCAAGTTTTCATAAGTTTTCTTGTGTTTCTCCCTCCAGTGCTGTCTCCCTTAACAGTGACCCTTTTCAGACTTTTCAAGGTACAAAACCTTTACCAAATCCTCGAGCTCAGTCCTGCACACTCTGCTTTCACACATTTGGCTGATCTGAGCTTCTCCCTCGCAAAATATTTTCCACTGGCCTGAAAACAAAAATACAAAGGAGACAGATACTGACTTAGAAAAGGGCATGGGGAACTTCAAAGACATTTATGAGCACTCTCCAGACCAACTGATTCACAATGGTCAAAGAGAGAATTTCCAGTCCTCCCATGGAAAATATTCAAAGTATCTTACAATCACGTAACATATTCCATGCAAAATAACTTAAAAATAATAAGGACCAGAATATTATTCTTTTATTTAATTAAGTAGTACTGTAAGTTGACTCTACTTATTCAACCATTTATGATGTTGGACACCATGCTTTGTGACAGAATGATGTGAAAAATTTAACTCTGATGGTAAACCAAAGCATTTAAAAGTTGGGAAACAACAAGTCACAGTGTTTCACGCACTGTGAACTCTGCCTGCCTGTGTGTAATACAAACTGTGTTTGCTGGTTATTAATATTTCTGTACATTTTTTTACAATGTTAATAGAAATGTCCACTGTCCTGGTAACTAGAACACTATATTACAAGTAACAATATTGAAGATGTTGTTAAGAACATAGGAGAGGCTTCTTTCAAATGTAGCATGTATGTAGGTAGTAGAACTCCTTTCATAATCTCTGAATTTTTTTCCCTTCTAAATAACTTTCTAAAAAATTGGAGTAACTTGATATGTTACTTAAATCCAAATTGTGCTGCTATGTTAAAATCAGTCATATTTCAGATTTATGGCACTGTGGGCAGAAAAACAGCCTATCTAATATTTTACCAAAATACAAGAGACTTAAGACAGCATAGACATGAACTACTGTTATATGTATCGATATTTTAAATTGCTGTATTTTGATTATTTAAATCTAAACTTATAAAAGATTGGAGCCATGTACTGGAAGAAAACTTAGTACACCTGTTTGTGTTGAGTAAAAGAGAATGTTTTTCAAAGCTATGATTATATGGAGAAGAGAAACCTAAAGAGGTCAGAATTTTACTTACTAGGGGTTGTCCTTGTTATCTGCTTGAAGTAAGGAAGTTCTTCAAATTCTCTCTTGGACATTTTTTCAACATAGAAGTGGCGCAGAATCCCTTCAGCAAAGAAATGAGAACTGCACGTTACTGGAAATGTGCTTGTTGTTCTAAACCCGGGTTGCTGTCCTGCCTTTATGTAGAATTCCTGCCATGTTGAGTCACTGTGAAATAATCCTTACCAGTTATGCAGATTTTCAGCCTATTCTTTTTGTTTGTTTGTTTGTTTGCCACCCCCCTGGTTTTTTGCTACTCCCCTGTAAATCCCTCTGTGGATTTATGATTGCAGAGAGTTTGTGAGGGATGTGAGAATTAGAATTCAGTATAGCTGAACCCCTTCCTTAGTATAAGTAAATCTAAGATTACAACAGAAGCCAAAATCCCAGTGTCTTGGAGAAAAACAGTATCATTTTGCAGTCAGACACCATTTTGCTTGTCATGAGCTAGCAGAGAACATCAGTGTCAAATCATCATAAGGCTTTGTGGCTCCTTGAACACACACGGTAGTTATTAACCACCCGATCCTCTGTGACTTTTTCTGCTCACACTTTGGGCTTGGCTTTGTGCTTTAAAGTGCATTCTAGAGATGTATCTTTTCTGTGTAAAGGGCTGTACTGTATGAGGATCATACAGTACATGTACAGTTTCATGTACTGTATGTACATGTACTTCAGGATCATGTACAGTTTCCTATGAGGATCACAGGCTTTTTTCTTAAAGTAGATTAAGTAGATAGGATTTTTAGGAGACTGGAGGTAATTTTTATTACACTAAAAGCTCAGGATTTGCAGAAGTGCCTGGGCTTCTGAATGCTTTTCTGTTTTTTCCAGTTTTACCAGTTAGTCTAGTAAAAGATACTGTTTCCATCCTTAACACATTTTTTTTTCCATATTCTAGACCATCATGGGTGTAGCAGATAGGGCAGATGGATTTCTATGGAAAGCTTTTTGGTCCATACTAAATAAGAACCTCCTGACACTTGGTTCAAACCCTGCTACCCATTTCTCTGCAATAAATTACACAGGGCACTACTGACAACCTGTTTGTCATCATGCTTTTGCTCATAATGAAGGGTAGGAGTCTGCAAAACTAGAGCTTTGTGTGTGTGTTATTAATGGATTTGTACAGCAAAACTTGAGTATGTTGGAAGTGGCTGTCATAGCGATATCCTAAACAGCCAGAACAGCAGTCTCAAGGTGCCTGGGTTTGAAAATTGTCCTGGGATTTTAATGGAAGATGATACACTGTTTAAAGAAAGAACTTGCTCAACTCACCTTTTCTAATTGTCCACACATGTACTTCTATTTGAGATGGCTTTTCAGTCTCTACTGCAATTTTTCTGATGGTTTCTCCTTCCTCTGTGAAAATGGATTCATAGACGGGAAATGTCTCTTTCCCACAGAAGTAATCTTTGTTGTCAAAGGTTTGACTTGGCACTTCTTCTTCTGTTTAAAAAAAGCCCAAAACACATACTACAGCTGTAATCAAGTCCTCCAGAACTTACTTGGCACTGACAGCCACGCAGTTTTAGTTAAAAAGTACAATTTTCACTTTTATGGCCCCTCAAATCCATCTCCACCTAAGCCCCAGGCATTTAAGTTTTCTCTTCTGCTGGGTGCTGATGGCCTCTCTGTGGTGGCAGGACCATACTCAGATTTACAATCCAGTTTCATAAGGAAGTGAGCTGTGTAAGACCATGTGGTCTATGAGACTCCTCACTATTTTTGAACCTGTTGTCCACTTTCCAAGCATATTAGAAATAACTGTAGAAGTCTCAGGGGTAATAAATAACTAAATGAAAACTGGTGCTTAGACAGAGTGAAGAGACCCAAATTAATGCTTTGCTGAGGGAAAGGGCAGGTAGAACCTACAAGGTTTGCATCTTGCTCAGCAGCAGCCAGCTGGCTAGTGCAAGCCTAGGCTAGCCACACTGCATGTTATCTCTTGCCCACCTGGTAAAGTCATAGAGCATATAAGTAGAAAATGTAATTATTCTGTTGGTAATTGGAAGTTGGACAAGAATGTAAGAGAGATGATGCAACTCAGTTTGTGGAAAAACTGCAGTTTGTGGAAAAACCTAATAATTAATACTTCTCCATATATACAAGACAGACTGCAGGAAGAGGTTCAGCTCTCTTAAAAATCAGCACATAGAACCTCAAAGAAAAAGACAGTAACTTTCTTTTTGCTACTGAATTGTCTATTGAAGCTGGCTAGCCACGTTTTGCTGACTCTTTTCATCTCGAATGAGCCCAATAAAAGCTGTGGATCTTTGATTCATGAGTATCCAAGTGGATCTAGACACACACCTCCTGCCTGCCTACCTACTGCCACTGCCTTGTGCTTTTGCCCAGTAAGCAAGGCTGGCAAGAGAAAATGGGAGGTGTGCATTCAAGGAAGGATTTCTGTATACAACTGAACAACTAATTTCCTCAGAGCATTTCTGCCCAATGCATCACCAAACAAACACAGAAATGGGCCGTGCAGATTAGAAAAGAAGTTTAAAGGCACAGAAGGGAACTGGACACTCCTTTACCCTTTACATCATATACAACATGGCTGGTCATTTGGCAGACCATCAGCAGACTCATTTTAGCAGATTCTTCACTGTTTCTAGGCATTGACTTTAGTTATGTCTGCGTAAGTTTAATCATTCTTGCAGCACAGAAATGATGCTAAGTTTGTGGTAAGTTAGTATTTCTTTCAAGGATTAAGTTACATAACTGACACCAACCAATTTGTAATCAGTTTATAATCGGGGGGGTTTGAGTCCTTCTGGTACATTTTAAAAAGCAGAAATTATATTATCTCCATACAAATTCATAAGCTAGAAAATGGTTTGAAGGTTCTGTGGGCACTGCAGTGGGGGAAGGATGGGATGGTCTTTTAAGCAGTAATGAACTCTCTGTGTATGTTTCTGTAATATTCTCTTTGGAAACAAGCGTCAGGAAGTCATGCTACCATGAGAGAGGAAGGCAGTGAGTGATCAGAAGATACGTGCCCCAGGCAGCAAGCCCCCCCGTTTTGAGGAACAGCAGTGAAGAGCAGGGCTGGTCAGGCACGTTGAGACCTCTGCACACACATCAGAACAGCGGGCACAGCTATTGCTATTTTCATCAGGTCTTATTGTGACCAGAAGGCTTGAGGCGAGCCCCTTAACATGCACAGTGAAAAGGTGGTCTGTGATCAGCTTTGTTTTACCTGGACAGACTTTACAGCATTTTCCTTCTACCTTCTGAGGGTATTTGCAGGGATATTGTTCTGGACAATGAATTTTCTTACATTCTTGTTTGGTGATGTTACAGGTGCACAACACACACTCTACGATTCCAAAGGCCCGGAGATTAGGATGCCAAGATTCACCATGGGAGTACGTTTTGCCATTTGAAACACAAACTACGAAAGAAGAGAAAAGGAAGCAAAAGTACAACTGGAAAAGGTATGTTCACTGGCTACTTCTCTATGAATATTCCTTTGATTAATTTGTTTAAAGCCATGTCTCTATGCATAATTTGTTAGTGTCTCTGGTACATTTCTCTGCTTGTTAACTTTAACTTGGAGTTTGCTACTTAAAATGAGTCCGAGTCACTGATCACCCTTTTCGAAGTAGTTTTGCCTTCATTCCAACTCTGCTGACACTGGTATCCCTCACTGTTTTGAGGAGAGCAGTGCATGCATTTCAGTTGTGCATCATTAACCAGCTTATAAAACTCGCTCCTCCTTCCTCTCCTAACCTCAGTCCGCACACAGGACACAGCCTGCTACATTGGCTCTGGCTTCTAGAATGAAATCTGCAGATGGCAGGATCATGACATTTGCTACTGAGTCACCTGCACAACTTTTCTTACCATTAGCTGAACACGGCTTTTGCAGTGAGAGCCATGCTATCAGCAGGATGGATCAGTGCCACCTGGGCCAATTATTGCTTTTCCATGAGAGTTCCTGCTGCACAACACAGAACAAAGCAAGGGAATGATGCAAAACAAAGTTGAATGGCCTTTGTGGAAATTTACATGTCTATAGGTATATAGAGACATTTGGCTTTTGGAATCACAAGAAAACATTAACATGAAATATAGGACTGAAATTTAATTCCAATTGCATCTAAGTACCTCAGAATATTTATTCATCAGTGCCCCTGGGAGACAGAGAAATACAACTGACACAAGGAGGGTGGAAAAATCCATGCCTAGTGGAAGCCAGTTTGGGTCACCCAGCAGTTAATGGGAATTATATCACTTTACACCATGTTTGCATTTGTCCTATAAACCTTACTCTTTTCTTTTTAAATGTTTTATAAACACAAAGAAAAATGCAAACTAATCCTAACAAGGTGAAAGAAAGGGCACTGCCTGATTTCTAAAAGCAACTAAAGCAAAGCTGGGATATGTTGTAAATATTTCCAATTCTTCTAATATGCCATCATTTTTATTAATGCTTTTATTTGTAAAGTATGTTCTTATTTTGCCTGTAACTTTCAAAAGCAATTTAATTTTTATCTGTAATCTGAAATTTAAATCTAACTGGTTACAGATGTGACCAACTGGCTTATACTTTACTGAGTTACTGAGATTTATGGGGAGTGTTCTTTGCAATGGATTGTCTTTCACAGGGTTATGCTATCATTTGGTTTATAATTTGCTACTTTTTAACTCTTTCTTAAGGCACGTTTTTATTTTAGAGGTAGGAAACAGTTTTGTTTCTCAAATAAAAGCAAATAAAGTGTTAATCTGTATACTAAGAACATGGGAGAAAACACTGTAAATGAGAAAAGTGGTAAGTACTCAACTGCTCAACAGACTTCTTACGTGTGTAAATACTGTATTAATAATTACATTTATGCTTATGTGGATTTTTTTTCACAAGACAGTTCTGCAGATCCTTTATGGACATAAATATTTCATTATTTCTCCCTGACAGGGGAAGGAATAATACATGACAGTGTGTAGCTACATATTTTGTCTGTTTTAAGGGTTTGTTTAGCACAGAACAGTTAAATAATTACTCTGAGGTAGCAGATGAAGCCTCCAGTAGAAGCCAACATAAGGTAAATAACTTCTAGTTCTCTGATGCCCTGTTTTTAGTGCTTTTCCTGTTTAGAATAATAGATCTGTATCCATGCAACTGCATAGTATTTGCTTGTCAAGAGAACTGTTGTGTGTTTATTTTTTAACTTGTTGAAATGCGTCTCAAGGGGCGTGTGCATTAATTAATAAAACACTTGTTAACTGCACAAGAACAAAGGAAAACACATGGTCAGCATTCCTGTTTCCATCATGGGGAACTCTCAGACACTCTCCAGGCAGTGAGTGTCTGAAGTTCTGGCAGTTACTATATACTGCATCCAGAAATATGCTGTTCATCTGTATGCCCTTTATTTGCTGAAACAAATCAGTTAGAAATTGCTTTGATGATGTCTTCATGTGTGAATTACATGTCAAAGATACTGCACTGCATGGAGATTCCTGCTCCTAGATTCAGCATAAAACACTGGCATGATCTGAATGTTTTTTCATGCTTGTTCAGGTGGATAATAAAGATCCTATGGCCAACATTCCTTCTGTTAGTTAATACCTTAAAAGATTAGTTGGCCCTAATACAGGGGCTTTTAACTCTTTGTGGGCAGTTCCTAAGTGCATTCTGACTGGTATTTGTGGATAGATGCTGTTCTGAACATGCATTTTTTACAGCTATTTCTTTTATGCCTTCTTAGGCCCATTCCTGCAGACCTCTGTTTACTGAGGTACACCCACTGTGGGAACTGAGCATCCCACCCTCGTTATTGTACAAAACCTGCTGTCCTACTCGCTGGAGAACTGACACTTTACCTCTATTTCTGTCCTTCCTGTAATGCA